CCTCAATCACAGACAAGAATCGAAGAGACTCATAATGCAATTTTTCTTAGAAGATCAAGATATATCAGACTTGGTTCATGATACCTTTGAGTTTGAAGAATCAGAACATCTCGATGGTTCAATTCCAATGGACTACAATCATATCTCGGTGTTGCCTAGAACTCACAAAGAGAAAGATGATCTTGATGAGGAAATGGCACAAGAAATGGATGCTGAAATACAAAATGAACATGAGAATGCTCCTTGTACACGAGATCTATCCTCAAATGCTCAAAATTCTCAAGTTGAGGGAGATACATGTCATGAGAATGAACAATTGAATCTGAGGAAGTCCAGCAGAGTCAAGAAATCAGCTATTTTAGCTGACTATGTCTATCTCCAAGAAGCAGAATTTGATATAGGTGACATAGATGATCCAGTTACCTATCAATTAAAGCAATTCAATCCCATGTCCTCATGTTGCATTATGGAAAGGAAGAGGAAGAGTTGGATTCCATATCCAAGAAGATAAGTGAAATGCTGGACCTGTTGAAACTCTATTTCAAATGTCAAACCAAATAGGTTGCAAGTGGGTTTTTACAAAACTAAAAGGGATGTTGTCGGGAGAATAGAGAGATATAAGGCTCGATTAGTAGCCAAGGGCTTCACACTCAGAAAAGAGGGGATTGATTACAGTGACATGTTCTCTCACCAGTTTCTTTCCAAAGACTCTATGAGGATCATCATCATGGCTTTAACATCTCATTTTGATCTGGAATTACACCAGATGGATGTTAAAACTGCTTTTTTGAATGGCGATCTGCAGGAAGAATTAATATATATATTGGTGCAACCTCCCGGATTTGTTGAAAAGGGGAAAGAGCATATGGTCTGCAAACTGAATAAGTCGATTTATGGGCTTAAACAGGCATCTAGGCAGTGGTTTCTCAAGTTTGATCAGGTCGTGACTGCTCATTTTGGTTTTAAACGGAGCTGCTTCATGGTTTTGTTGAGAACAAGATGGATGATTGCATCTATTTAAAACACAAAGGATCAAAGTTCATTTTTTTGGTTTTGTATGTTGATGACATTCTGCTTGCAAGTTCTGACATACAACTGCTTAAAGAAACCAAGGCTATTTTAAGCACAAATTTTGAAATGAAAGATTTAGGGGAAGCACATTATGTTCTGGGGATTGAAATAATAAGAGACAGAAAGAGAAAGCTTCTGGGATTATCTCAAAAGGGATATATTGAAAGGGTGCTGAACCAATTCAATATGGAGAAATGCAATAAGGCAGATGTTCCAGTTAACAAAGGTGACAAATTTTCTAAAGATCAATGTCCTAAGAATGAGAATGAGATCGAGTTGATGAAGATGAAGCCTTATGCATCATTAGTTGGAAGCATCATGTATGCTAACATTTGTACAAGGCCTGACTTAGCATTCATTGTTGGAGTATTAGGCAGGTTTCAATCAAATCCAGGAGAATCTCATTGGGTGGCTGGCTGCGAGAGAAAGTATTCATTGAGATATATGCAGAAAACAAAAGCTTATCAGTTAGTTTATGGCAGAGAGATGATGATTTTGGAGTTGATTGGATTTACAGATTCAGATCTTGCTGGGGATATAGATGAGAGAAAATCGACTGGAGGTTATATCTTTATGTTAAATGGTGGTGCTATCTCCTGGAAGAGTGCTAAGCAAACAATTGTGTCTACTTCAACAATGGAGGCTGAATTTGTTGCATGTTTTGAAGGGAATGAAACAGGCAGTATTTGGTAAGAAATTTTTGCTTTGATGAATGAATGAAAATTTGTTAACTGTTCGGTAACAAAAAAGGGCTTAAAAGGCCTTTGAAGTTGTTAAAATTCTGTGAAACAACTGGATGTTGTTGTGCTCTTTGTGTTTTTTCTCCAAGACAATATAAGAGAACTTCGGCTTCAAGACTAATGGATGTGAAGTTTTCTTCTTAAAGTTAGAGAAATGGTGAAGAAAGGAGAGATAGAAATTCTACATTTATATCTACAGAGAAGATGATTGCAGATCCTCTTACTAAAGCTTTGCCAAACAATGTGTTTTAAAGCACATGTTACTAGAATGGGAATTTTAGAAGCTTTTGACAAGTGGGAGTAATTGTGACCAGATTTGAGATGGCTTTGGAACTGCAGTGGTTGCTTATGTTACTGTCTACTGCGGTAGGAGATTTTCCTGAGTTAAGTTAGTTATGGCATACTAATATCTTGTCTTAGTTAGTATTTTCATTTTTGTTTTTGGTTTTGATTTATATGAATTCAATTTTTCCGTATTGTGATTAATGATTCAGATAGTTAGCATTGCAATAAAATAGTTTGAGTTTGCTAGTAATCAGTTTGTGATTTTACTGAAAGTATACTTTGGAACTGTTTAGTATATTGTTCTGTTATGGATGGTTGTCATTTAAGCTGAAATTTTAACTGTGATTGAGTTGAAATTGGTTTAAATGAGTGGAGTAATGAATTTTGGCATTACTGAGATTGTTGTTGTCGTATAACTACAAAAATGCAAAATTGGATATGTTTGTGATTCTTGGATAAGTAATAAAGTCTGAGATTGTATACAGATAAAGTCCTGGAGTTCCATATTTGATTGATATGCATAGGTAATGTTGTATACGAGGTTAGAAGCTTTATTCTGGACTTAGTGATCACTTCCATGATGATTCGTTTAGTTAATCATTGTGTCTTTATACTCAAGAGGGAGAATGTTGGAATATGAGTATAAAACATGATTGTGGATTAGCTATTATATTGAATGAATTTTGAATGGAAAAGTCTTGATAAAGTGTTTGTGTAAATCCTATTTCTTGTAGGATTATTATGAGTGTTTTTAGTGTTCCTTTGGGAAAAGGTTTTGGATCCTTCTCTCGGATTGATCTTGTGCACTCATTGTGTAAAAGGGTTTCTGTTTTAGAGTCCAACACTAAATTCTAATAGGAGAATGTGTTGGATTAATGCTGCTGTAATATACCACAATCACTGCTTGCTCTTGCAAAGATACTACGGCTCATATTTGTGTTGAATACCTATTGTTCAAAGAGCTCTCTCTAGTTTTTGCTAAAGGAGGAGAAGATTGTCTGGTGGTGAAGCTGCTATGGCTTCTTCGAGTTCAAGTTCTGCAGGTATGTTTTGATTGGTTAATGCTGAGATTTATGGTTATGTTGTTCACATTGTTTGTTGGTAGTATTGGTGATTTATTGGCATATCTATGATCTGGGATGAAGTTCTTACATGATGCTTAAGACAACACAATACCATCATTAGGGTCTGTAACGGAGACGATCACATGAATCCCTGCAGAGTAGACTATAGCCAGAAAAAGCAGCATTCGCACGGTTGCCATGGTCAGGACTGCTATACTCAAAAGCCCTTTTGTCAAAAGCACTCAGCAACAATTCACTTCCCTTCACTTCACCCTTCCTCTATGCATTCATGGCATGTTACATGCATGCATATATAAACAAAGTTAGTTTACAGTAATTAATTAAGATTAATGCTCATTAATTTCTGAGCAAGGAAGTCAATTCAATTGATATAAACAAAGTGGACCGTTGTTACTTTTACCGTTTCAACCGGCCGCCTGCGCATTAAAGTAAGCAAAATGCCTTAAATATTGCACTGGTGGATCCAATGGATGTAATTTCTAGATGTTTAGGGATATTTGCACAATTGAGTATATTCGGCAGACTTCGAAGACTCTTAAGTTCAACATTTGAAAAAATCTACTTTATCGCTTAGACGAGAGTTGTAGATACAAAGAGATATATTCTCGGTTTTACAACAGACTTTCCCTCCCCCCTCCGTTCAGTAACTGGTTGACTCCCACTCTTCCAATTGCTGCATAAAAATTGCATAGAAATTTCTAACCTTCATCCCAAAATTATTTTTGCCACTTTCACATTTGTCTTTCATACCGAAACAGATTATATTTGTCGAGAAATGTAAAATTGTATGGATGCGATCCTTCTAGATAGACATTATCGAATAGCACCTTTTGATGAGATATATGAACAAGAGGCTTCGAGAAAACTAGTGTTTTCTGAATTATATGAAGCCAGTAAGCAAACAATGAATTGTAAGTTCTATAGAGAGCAAACACTTGTTTATCGTGTAAAAGTGTTTTGGAATAATAAGGAGACTAACATTAGCTACGTGGAATGGCTTTACAGAAATTGTATAATAAGGATAATAGCCTTAAGCAATCTCGATAGAACTAGGACTTTATTATCTAATATGTTTATTAGCGTTTTCACGGTGATAAAGATAGTTTGATAAGGATTACATAATGGGAAGTGTCCTTATTGAACTCCATCGTTTATGGTATAAAACTAGGGTCCCTGCGCTCTCACAAAAACACACAAGTTTTCAGATACTCAAGCCCTATTGATTGAGCCTTGTATTCGGTAGTGCAGAGTTGCAGAAGAATCCTTCTAACTAAAGCAGCAATGTCTTCATCAGGTATGTGATGAAGTTGGTATCGTGATTTAGTTTCTATAAGTTATACACTTACAGTTGGTATCAGAGCCTTCACATATCATCTTAATCCTATGTTGGAGGCATCGAGAATTTTTGTTTTCTTATTGTTGTGCAGGTTACAGAACTGGTTACATATTATCTGGGAAAAACAACACGAGTATGTGATGGCTAAAGCCATTCTTATTCGTGTGGGTTTTTCATCTTAATATGTATACCAAAAATGGCACTTGAACACCAATCGTGAACGCTGATCTTCTAAAGAAGTTCAGATGTTCATATTTAGTTTTTGAGTGGCATATCGTTTTGGCAGCCAATACATGAATACAACTATCATTGTCAGATCATAAAGACCTATAATCATAGTTAAAGAAATTCATGTATCAGCTACAAAAGTGATATGAACAAAGAAAATAATCACAGCTTTCATCAATCTAAAGAATGTTGATTTTTGTGATATATGGTTTGGGGATAAGGATTAATATTCGAAAGTTTTATGCTTTGACATCCATGAATCCTAGCTCCATGAACCTCAACACTGTTGAACCACTTACTGGTATCAACTATAAGAAATGGAAACAGGATCTAGAGATCGTGCTAGGAGTCATGGATTGGGATTTAGCACTCAGAACTGAAGAGCCTCCTATGCCGACAGATGGGAGCACATCCAACCAACGGTCCAAGTATGAAAAATGGCAAAAATCAAACAGGATTTCCCTGATGATTATCAAGAAGAGTATGACTGATGTGGTTCGAGGTGGCTTCCCTGATGCTACTAATGCCAAGGAATTTCTTGCATCCATCGAAGAAAAGTACAATGAGTCTCCAAAATCCGAGACAGGTAATCTCATGAACTCACTTACCACCATGAGATATGATGGCATTGAAAGCGTACGTGAATATATCTTGAAAATGATGGATGTTGCTGGAAAGCTTAAGGCTCTCGAGGTACCTATATCTGAAACATTCCTTGTGCATGTGATAATGAACTCACTACCTGATAGCTACACTCAACTGAAAGTATCTTATAATGCTTTGCGTGAAAAATGGGATGTGAATGAATTAATTGCTATATGTGTAAGTGAAGAAGAAAGGATGAAAAAGGAGAAGTATGAAAAGAAAAAGGTTGAGTCTGTCAACCTTGTGCATGGTGCCTATAAAGCACACAAACCTTCGGCTGTTGATGTTACCAGGAAAGAAACTACCAAAAGGGCTCCATCTCCTACCAAAAGGAACTTTAAACCTAACAATGCTATTTTTGCAAGAAAACAGGTCATATGAAGAGAAATTGTCCAAAATATAAGGCTTGGCTTGCTAAACAAGAGTCAAAGAAAGGTAAAAATATTTTTGCTTGTTTTGAGTCAAATTTGATTGATATACCTAGCACTGCATGGTGGCTTGACTCAGGCTCTTCTATTCATGTTACGAATTCATTGCAGGACTTCATAACAAAGAGAACACCAAATAAAGATGAAGTCAAAGTCTCTGTTGGCAATGGAAGAAGAGTTGAAGTCAAAGCTTTAGGAAGTGTTAGGCTAAAGTTAGAATTTGGTTTTTATTTAGAATTGGAAAATGTCGTTTATGTACCTTCTATGAGAAGGAAGTTGATTTCGGTTTCAAAACTAGTTATGTTGGGTTTTTATTTTACTATTAATAATATTGGCTTCAACATTTTTTATAAGTCATCTCAAATTGGTTCTGGTTCTTTGAGTGATGGGATGTTCCAAATAAAGTTAAACCTTGATGAACACGTTTTTAACATCCAAAATGGGAACACCAAAACTCAATCTTCAAACCTATGGCATAAGAGACTTTGCCATATTTCGAAACAAAGAATGGAGTTGCTTGTTAAAAATGACATTTTACCATCTTTGAATTTTAATGACTTTGATTTATGTGTGGATTGCATCAAAGGTAAAATGACAAATAGTAGGAAAGAAGGATCAACTAGAAGTAAACAAGTCCTAGAAATTATTCACACGGACATTTATGGTCCTTTTCCAACGCCTACCATAGAAGGAAACAAATACTTTATAACCTTCATTGATGATTTTTCAAGGTTTTGTTTCATTTATTTGATCAATGAGAAATCTAAAGCTTTTGAAGTTTTCAAAATTTATAAGAATGAAGTTGAAAATCAATTGGAAAGGAAAATAAAGATTGTTAGGTCTGATAGAGGTGGAGAATATTATGGTAGATATACTCAAACTGGTAGACATCCTGGAGCCTTTGCACTATTCTTGCAAGAACATGGGATTGTAGCTCAATACACTACACCTAGAACCCCCGAACAAAATGGGGTTGCAGAAAGAAGAAACAGGACCTTAATGGACATGGTAAGAAGCATGATATGTAGAGCTAATTTGCCAAGTTCTTTGTGGGGAGAAGCAGTGAAGAATGCAAATTATATTTTAAATAGGGTGCCATCAAAATCTGTTGAGGGTACTCCTTTTGAGCTGTGGACAGGGAGAAAACCCAGCTTGAATCATCTTCATGTTTGGGGTTGTAGAGCAGAAGCAAAAGTGTATAGTCCTAACAACAAAAAGCTCGATCCCAAGACCATCAGTTGTTTTTTTGTAGGGTATGCAGAAAGGTCGAAGGGTTTTAGATTTTATTGTCCTAATTACACTTCCAAAATAGTTGAAACTGGCAAGGCAATCTTCTTAGAGCATGAAACCGATACTGGTTCTGGGACTGAGGTTGACACTTTAGAACTTGAAGAAGAAGAAAAAGAAATCGTAGTCCAACCAATGGAAACTGAGATAAGTGTGGCAGCTCCACTTCTTAAAATTGTTGGACACATGGAGGACAGTGAAACTGATGCATGTGATGAGGATCACGAAGTTGATGCAATAGTTCAAGAAGTGATAAATAATGATCAAGGTACCATAACAATTGAGGCAGCAACACCCACCATGGGTCAGCAACATCAAATACAAGAGGGCAGCATCGACACCATTATTAATTTCAGAAGATCAACTAGGGTCAGGAAACCTACGACACTAGAAGATTTTGTATACTTGGCTGAGAGTGACATTGATTTATCAGAATTTAATGACCCTATAAGTTTTAAAGAAGCAATCTCAAGACCAAATGCTGACAAGTGGATAGAAGCAATGAATAGTGAGCTGACCTCAATGGAAAACAATCGTGTATGGGAATTAGTTGAACAGATAGAAGGAATGAAACTCATAGGAAGCAAGTGGGTTTTCAAAACTAAAAAGGATTCGAATGGAAATATAGAAAGGCACAAAGCTATATTGGTCGCGAAAGGATTTACACAAAGAGAGGGTGTTGATTACAAAGAGACTTTTAGTCCAATTTCAACCAAAGATGCTATTAGGGTTATCATGGCTATGGTAGCACACTTTGATCTTACTTTGCATCAAATGGACGTCAAAACGGCCTTCTTAAATGGAGATTTGGATGAGTGTATCTATATGAGACAACTAGATGGGTTAAAAAAAGAAAGGAAAGATAACTTGGTCTGCAAGTTGAAGAAATCTATTTACGGACTCAAGCAGGCATCGAGGCAATGGTACCTCAAGTTTCATCAAGTGGTAAAAGAATATGGTTTCACTGAAAATCTTTCTGACAACTGCATTTACATGAAGGTTAGTAGGAGCAGTTTTATCATTTTAATTCTTTATGTTGATGATATACTGCTTGCCACTAATAGTCAGAGTTTATTAAGTGAAACAAAGTCTTTCTTGCAAAGAAATTTTGAAATGAAAGACTTGGGAGAGGCAACGTATGTCTTAGGGATTGAGATCAAAAGGGACAGGAGGAGAGGTTTGTTGGGACTATCGCAAAGAGGGTACATAGAGAAGGTTTTAAAAAGATTCAACATGTCCAGTTGTGGAACTACTGAAGTGCCGATTTCAAAGGGAGAAAAGTTGAGTAATTTGCAGTGCCCTAAAAATGATTTGGAAAGAAAGATCATGGAAGATAAGCCATGCTTCCTTGGTAGGAAGCCTAATGTACACTCAAGTCTACACAAGACCTGATCTTGCATTCACAATAAGTGTACTTGGAAGGTTCCAATCGAATGCTGGTGAAGCTCACTGGAATGCAGCGAAGAGAGTGTTGCGATATCTTCAAAGAACTAAAGCACATATGTTGGTTTTCAGAAGCACAAATGAGTTGGTGTTAGAAGGGTACAGTGACTCTGATTTTGCTGGATGTTTGGATGATCTTAAATCTACATCAGGTTATGTTTTCTTGATGGCATGTGGAGCTGTTTCTTGGAAAAGTGTAAAGCAAGACACAGTGGCTGCATCTACAATGGTAGCTGAAGATTTATCTTGTTGTGAGACTGTTAACCAAGCTGTTTGGTTAAAGAATTTCATAATGGGACTTAAAGTTATTGATTCAATTGCAAGGCCAATCCAAATCTACTGTGACAATAATGCTGCAATATTCTTCTCCAAGAACAATAAGAGATCAGCTGCAACCAGGAACTTGGACATTAAATACCTCATTGTGAGAGAGAAAGTTGTGGCTGGGTTAGTTAAAATTGATTATTTGGAGACAGGTTCAATGATTGCAGATCCTATGAACAAAGCAGTGCCCAATGCAGTGTTCAAGAAGCATGTGATGAGTATGGGAGTGCTGGATGATTTTGATGTAGTGAATTAGTGGGAGCCAAGTATTAATTTCTTCCTCTGCGAGTTATCTAGTTCTGAATGTTTTGAATATTAATAATAAAGAACACTTAGCTAATAAAGTGAAATGTTGAATGGTTGTTAAAGTTTTCCTATCAAGCTCAGCAGTTAGTATGAAAGTGCATGTATTTCTTTATGATGCAGGATGGATAATGATTCTCAGAATTGTTATAAGGAATAAACAACTTGAAGACTTCACTATGAAGTATTTGGAATTGATTGTTTTATCAATCTTGTGGAGGACCAAGTGTAAGATGTGTTACTCAAATATACATGCGAACATGTCTTACATTGAATTACATATCTTGTTGGAGTTTCATGTGTTATATAGCTTCATTACAGTGACTATGGGGACAGTACTTCTTCAGTGGGAGTGTGATGCCCTTTGGTTCTTCATGAATGCTTATTAACGACAGGAACTTGTAATCGAGTTTAGCTGATATTAGTCTCTTGGCCAATCAAGTATTATTCCACTTCTGTAAGTGTACATGATAAACAAATATTAGCTCTAGTGGGAGAATGTAAGTTCTATAGAGAGCAAACACTTGTTTATCGTGTAAAAGTGTTTTGGAATAATAAGGAGACTAACATTAGCTACGTGGAATGGCTTTACAGAAATTGTATAATAAGGATAATAGCCTTAAGCAATCTCGATAGAACTAGGACTTTATTATCTGATATGTTTATTAGGGTTTTCACGGTGATAAAGATAGTTTGATAAGGATTACATAATGGGAAGTGTCCTTATTGAACTCCATCGTTTATGGTATAAAACTAGGGTCCCTGCGCTCTCACAAAAACACACAAGTTTTCAGATACTCAAGCCCTATTGATTGAGCCTTGTATTCGGTAGTGCAGAGTTGCAGAAGAATCCTTCTAACTAAAGCAGCAATGTCTTCATCAGGTATGTGATGAAGTTGGTATCGTGATTTAGTTTCTATAAGTTATACACTTACATGAATCCCCATGGGTATTCGAACCTGAGTATCCAGGAAAAAGTTGAATATTTGATGGAAAAACGGGAGATCCTTTTGAACAACCTGTTATAATAGGAAAGTCTTATATCTCTGAAATTAATTCATCAAGTTGATGATAAAATACATGGACGTTGTAGTGGACATTATGCACTTGGTACAAAACAACCCGTTATGAGGAAGGGCCAAACAAGGGGGACAACGGGTAGGAGAAATGGAAGTTTTGACTCTAGAGGAATTTGGTATTGCTCATATTTTACAAGAGATGCTTACTTATAAATCTGATCATATTAGAGCTCGCCAAGAAGTACTTGATAGTGTAATCATTGGAGGAACAATACCTAAACCCGAGGATTTGTAGTTAACAAAGTATGGTGTCTTCGACTATTTGTAGTTTTTTTTTCTTTCTCTAATGGTGCACTCATCCACATCGAATCACAAATGGATTCACTTGACCCCTTAACAAATGATAGATTGAGAATTTTAACAAAATGCTCCCGGTACTGTTTACTTTAACAAAAAACCATATTTTTACACTAAAAAGTCAATATTGGTATTATTCACTTTATCCTTTATTTTGTCCTTATCGTTAAAACTCAAACTTTTCAAGCCTTCTCATTAATTTTCCTTAGATTCTAGGGTTGAGTAGTGGTATATGAAAGTTTTCTCATAGGTTACGTTGAGTGGTAAAAAGGTAAATATATTACCAGAAGAAACAAACAGCCTTACAAACTGTACAAGCAAAGGTCCAAAGACAAAATTACACAAACAAGCAAAATGGACTTAGCAAACGTCTGTGGGCCACATTACTCCCACGCTTAATTGGAAGCCAAGTGTTGCAAAACCAAGGTAGAAGGGGCACTAACCACCACAGGATGAATAATCGGGCACGAATTCTACATGGTACGTCCTAAGTTAGATTTATACAAATCATATAATAGTAGTTAGGGAGATACTGAAATACATCTGTGAACTTTTTAGTGACACATATCACACGAAACGGAAATACCAAATTGACAGTGTCATAACTTATCATGCAACGACATGTGTTTTAATATTTGCCAACATGATCCTCTACGGAATTTTTTGGTGATGATCCTAAGAATTCGTGAATCATGTCCATTCATCGTACATCGTGCGGTCAGTTTTTGTCATGTTATGTTTGTATTTAATTTTAAATAAAAATATTTAAAATGATTTCTAACAGTCAGGTTTTGTCATGTTATGTTTGTGTTTAATTTTAAATAAAAATATTTAAAATGATTTCTAACCGCACGATATACAATGAACGGACATAATTTACGAATCTCCGAAATCCTCACACAAATAATTTGAAGAGGATCCTAATTCTAATGTTTAACATTACATGATAGGTTTAAACTAAATTGGAACGTTCTCGAACAAATTGGAAGCAGAGACCAGACACTCAAAATCCGACGGCTCGAAGACACATACCGATACAAACGCAAAGAGAAAAACAATGGCAGGCACACTGCTATCTCGGGCCATTCATCTTTTCGCCTCTACTACCACCAAGTCTAATCCTTTTTACTCCGCCGTCTCCTCCCGCCTCATAGCCATAGCCGCCGCCAGCCACTCCAACAAAACCATCTCAGAAAACCATCACAGGAGTTCACTTCTTCCATTTTCACTTAACCCTTTTCGTTTCCATAACACCCTTAGAGGACGGAGCCGTAGCTGCTCCTGCTGCGATTCCACCACAGAAAACCACCGTCGCCATAGCCGCGACGGCGAACCCAGCACCAAAATCAACACCAAGGTTAACTTCTCCCTCCCATCCGACGACGAAGACGATGACCAAACTACGCCAACCGCCTCCGCGAAAGAGATCGACAAGTCGAAGCTCCCTCCACCGTACGACCCTTTCAGCAAGAAGCCCGCCATCGAGGACCCGGAGGACCCAAAGGACTTGCAAGAGGTCTTCCACAAAATGCGGAGCGACGGCCTCACCAACAATGCAGTCAAGATGTTCGACGCATTGTCTAAAGATGGATTGACCCACGAGGCCTTGGAGCTCTTTGCTCAGATTAAGGACAAGGGTCATATGCCTGACGTCGTTTCTCACACCGCCGTCATTGAGGCCTACGCCAATGCCGGAAAGACGAAGGAGGCTTTGAAGGTGTATTTGCGGATGTTGGCCTCGGGGGTTGCCCCGAACACCTACACTTACAGTGTGCTGATCAAGGCGCTTGCAGCCGACCCTGGCAATTTTCTTGGGGATGCTAAGAAATATTTGCTGGATATGATGGGGAAAGGAATGCGGCCCAATGCCGCTACGTATATGGCTGTGTTCGAGGGGTTTGCAAGGCAGGAGAAGGCGGAGGAGGGGAGGTTGTTACTGGAAGAGATGAAAGGCAAGGGGTTTGTGCCGGACGAGAAGGCGGTGAGGGAGGTTCTTAAGAGCAAAAGAGGACCTGTAGTTAGAACCGTCATCAACATTCTGTTTGGCAAGTAGATCGATTTTGCTCATTTCATTTGCTCTCTGTTCATCTTCGTTGAAAATTGAAATGTTTAGCATTTGAAATGAAATCCCAGTTTCATTCGAGCGATATTCTAATTTAATGAACACCTACATTTAATGATTATAATGTCAAAACAAAATACATGAGTGGGAGAGAGAGCAGTTCAAACATTATTCCTATAACTAAGTATAGTTCAATTCGTTTCTTGCAAGACTCTGGAGGAGCATCTCCCAATCTCATTGACATTGCACAGCCCACAAACACAAAACAGTAGAAAGCAATGCCTGCCGGTGGTGGCAGCAGCTTCTAACCCGCCATTGGTGCTGAAAAACTGACGTTTAAACATGCACGGAACTCACCAATGGTGATGGAAAACTGATGTTTAAGGAAGCATGTCTAGAATCCTTGTTTGGTAGGGCAATCCGATGCCCTGTGGCCAGACTGCCCACAATTGAAGCAGGAACCTCCAAAGCTTCTGGAACTGCAAATTCGGATACCATTTCAGTGTTAACTGATGTGTTGCGAATGCCTATTTCTAATGCGAGAAAGGATGAGAAAGTAAAAAGATAATATACCTGTCTCGGGATGGTGACCTGCTTGATCGTTGGCCTCCAATAAGCCAATCGTCATCGATGCTTCTTGGACTCCGGGGTCTGCTGTTGCTAGATCCATAACTTCGGCCACTACTCCTAAATGAATCGTCGGCACCACCATCACTACCCCAACCCCTGGAGCTTCTGAAACCACCTGATGATCCTTGACGATCCCTAGAACCTCCTCCCCGGCCTCCTCCACGGCCTCCTCCTCGGCGATCTCTGCTTGAAAACCTGCCGTAGTAGTCACTCACCGGCCCATCATCTTGCAAGGCTGGCAACTGCCAACACAAAATAGTACATGCACACGACACCAATGTTAGTAGCTTTTCATGCAAAAGCTGCCGTTGTGAGAAAATGACGAAAAGCAAAAGTAAACCTTGGATATCTTGGAAACGGTGTTTCCAGGAGGTATTTGCCTAGTCAGCAACTCTTTGGCAATCTCCTCTGGAAGATCAAAGACTGCTCCTTGAATCTGATATTATCACCATCAAAATTCAAAATTTGTTTTAATGAATTGAATTGATGCACTAATCAAAATAAACATGAGATGTTGTAGATAAAAACCCGTTCATCTGCAATTATATGTATTTTTCCAACTTCATCAGCAGCCGTAGAATAAACATCTGAAAGAAACCCAGTGACAGATCTAGCAGACAGGAACCCTCTGGCAAAAGATGGATCTCGGATAAGTTGCAATGTCGTCCATCCCTGCATATAATTTTACAGTTCGATTAATATACCGATACCAGAACTGCGCTGAGATTACACATGCCCCAAAAAACTGTAAACTAAGATGCACTTCACATTCTACACTGTTTAATATTGAGAAGGTTACTTGAGTGTGTGATTATTTGATTTCAAAATGAACCATACAGGATATCTAGAGTAAGAAAATAAGTGAACATTTGAAAACATCTTACTGCTCCACCAAATTTCAAGAAAATAAACTACTATACAGAAACTTAAGCGTTTATTGACTGCAATTATTACCGCCTCATGGGTGATAAGGGACTTGGATGATGGAGGTCGAGAAAATCCACTGAGCTGTGCTAGTGCAGCAGCAAGAGCACTTGTTCCCTGTTCATCAATCAATCTCTGTGCTGTTGGTGTGAAAAACTGTACAGATTCAGGATGCACTCCACTAAGAGTAGCAACCACATGCTGCGCAGATGACTCCAAAACCTCCTCAATAGTTGGTGGACTAGCAAACTCAAACTTGCACCCCACATCACGCTCAAGCGTTTTAATTGTTCTCCTCTGGTTGTTAGTAAACATCAGAACGGCAGTACCTTCTTTCCCTGCGCGTCCAGTACGCCCAGAGCGATGCACAAATGTCTCTGAATCATTGGGAAGCTCGTAGTGGATAACCTGGAAGGAAAAATAAAATATTGCAGCCAAAGGCTTATCAAGGTGTTGGCAATTGATATATTAAGAAAACATCTAAATCTATTTCTGGCATACAGAGTGGTAATAGTTTCACATACACATATACAAGGATCCATAAAACTATACTAAAAATTTGATTAGGAATCATAAGAAGCTCCCAAGTTTACCAAATCAACATTGGGAATATCAAGTCCACGGGATGCAACATCAGTGGCAACGAGCACAGTGAATTTCCCTTGTCGAAAACCATTTAATGTTCTCTCTCTTTGATGCTGTGATATATCTCCATGCAATGCCTCGGAAGCTATGCTACTTGTTAATGACATTGAGACTTCATCAGCATCTCGTTTTGTTTGTGTAAATACAATGGTCTTCCCACCCTTTGCGTACACCTGAAGGTATGACATTCTTCAGAGTTGTGTGGAAAATGTTTCCTTTTTGAAGTAATTTAGAGCTATGCAGATTCATATTATAATCAGCATCACCATCACCATCACCATCTTTATCATAAACTAAACAACTTTCAAAGGAAAACACCACAACAACATTAAAGATCATATTAAAAAGAGAGGCAACTCACTCGATACCTACATATCATACGTATGAGCCAAAAAAGAGTCAGTAATGAGTTCCAACTCTTACCGTTATAAGATCACTAAGAATGGTCTTCTTTGAAGCTGAAGTGGTTGATAAAGCATAAAGTTTGATCCCTTCTGCAAGCTTCTCGTCTTGGTCGCCAACCTTTGGGAAAAAAGAAAGTAGAAATGGAATTATGAAAGACTCACTTTCCACTCTACAAACATACAAGATGCAAAATTTATTAATTAGCTTTTCCTGTATTACAATTTTGATATCTACCGCATTGCTTTAAACAACTACAACTTCCATCAGCTTTAAGTGTTCAATATCCAGTCAACATATTTTAGGCATCACTCTATGCCACATTCTAATGACAGATATACGAATAATGAAAGTTTTAAACTTAACATAAGAAAGAAAGAAAAGAACAACGACATTTACCAAATCAATTGTCATTGGATTGTCCAAATATTTCCGTGATAGTTTTTTCACCCAACCAGGCATGGTTGCAGAAAAAAGCATGCTCTGCCTCTGAGCTGGAAGCTTTTGCAGAATCACTTCCACATCCTCCTCAAATCCAACAGCAAGCATTGAATCAGCTTCATCAAGTACCAAATATTGTACTTCGCCCAATTTGAGGGTGTTGCCGTTTATCAGGTCAATAATCCGACCAGGAGTTCCAACAACTACATCAACTCCACGGGAGAGAGCACTTTGTTGAGTTATGTAGGAAACTCCCCCATAGACACAAACGGTGTTAAGATAAGGTGCAGATTCTTTCATCTCCTTTTCGACTTGCTTTGCCAACTCCCGAGTAGGTGCAAGCACCAAAACTCTTGGAAGATAACCAGTCCGCCTACAAAAACAGAAATTTATCACATATTTTTCAAAAGAACATGTCTTTAGATATAATGTGAATAATAAGCTTCACAAATGGTACCTATGAGAGCCTCTCTGTTCATCATCTTCTGTGAGACGCTTGAGTATTGGGATTCCGAAGGCTAATGTCTTTCCAGTCCCTGTCTTGGCACGCGCAATGATATCTCGACCTTCAAGTGCAGGTACTAGAACAGCTCTCTAAACATTTTCAGCAGAGAAAGCTATCAGTAAACCACTACATACATATATATACATATATAGGGTTCGGGGTTTAGGGTTTAGATTATAAGGGCATTTTTAAACTGTTATAATCTGAAGAAAGCTTACATTTTTATCATACCACACATAATTTTACAGATAATGCTCAAAAGGGTTCCAAGAAAAACTAAATTACAATCAATTCATGGTATAATTAGCACCAAATTCCAAAAAAAATAGATAAGAGAAGCAAAACCACAGAGAGAAATGAAGCACCTGAATTGGGAAAAGGTTCGATATGCCACGTCTCTCAAGGCTATCAAGAAGCCGCTGAGGCAAACCCAGCTTGGAAAGGGCGAGCTCATCGTCGTCACTGGCAGCAGAACCCGGCTCGGTTTCCGACTCGTACTCCAAGTCCGAGTCGAGGCCGTCCTTCGAAAAGTCACCGAGTCCCTTAAACGCCTCTTCACTGAGCACCGAGTTCGGAGTCGCAATTGCCGAACAAACGACACCGGACCCCTGCCTGACCAACCCACTCTTACCTCTCAAAACACTGTTGAAGTGCGCCCTCTCCGGGAACGCAAGCGAAAGAGTAGCACTACTCGTCGTTGCCGCCGCCGGCGCAGCTCTTCTGTACAGCTCGCTGCACGGAGTCTGGGAATATACAGAGGAAACTCCGATGATAGAAGACATTTCTGCAACTACAGCAGAAATGGTATAACAACTCTCTTGGCTCTGCTTCTTCCTTCTTCCTTCTCCTTGCACGCAAGGTGTTTGCTGATATTCCTCAGAGAAGAAGATAGAGGATAACGAGGGAGGGAGGCTCGAAAGATATCGTTATTAGGTCTGGAGGATTGAGAGCCGAGAGGAAAGCGGTCGCTGTGGGTTTATATAGAGAAGGGACAGAGGAGTGAGGGTGAGACTGTGAGGGAGATAAGGCCGCAGTCCAGCCCTTTGGAGAATGTATGGCCTCCCAAACCTCCACCTCGGTTAATATTTTCTCCCCTAAAAGCGAATATTTCTTGTCGGGTCGGAATTCAAACTGCGGATCGACCCGGAAACCCGGGTTTCCTTTTTACCCGGCCGTTATTGCATTTTGCCTTTTTTTCCAAGTCGTTAATTCATCATGAGAAATGCTAACAAACTCTTTTTTATGAATTCTCTATTACATCATATTTTTAGCAAATTATTTTATAATATTAGTATAAAAATTAACATTAAATTGTACGTTGAAAAAAATTTATGTAGAATTCCATTTTGAGATAGCCACCTTAGCATTTCTCATATAATACAAAACTATGATAATGTAAGGCTCGTTTGAATGTGATTTTAGAATTACTGAAAGCATTTTTACAAAAAATGTTTTTGTGTTTCAAAAGCACTTAAAGTACTTTCTGCAAGAAGCACCAATTATGTGCTTATTCCATGAAGCACTTTTAAGTGCTTTTCCAAAATTTACTTACATTTTTACTGAATATTGATTCTAGAAACATTTTCACTAAAAACGTTTTCAGTCATTTTAAAAGCACATCCAAACGAGCTTATATGACTTGTTTGAAAAGTGCTTTTAAAATAACGGTAAGTGTTTTAGATGAAAATATTTTCTAATCAATTCTTAATAAAAATGGAAGTAAATTCTATAAAAATGTTTAAAATACTTTCTTGTAAGAAATACTTCAAGTATTTTTAAAGTAAAAACTAATTTTTTGAAAAACATTTCCAATCATTTTAAAGAAACTTCTAAACGAGCCCGTATTGCAGTCAATCTCTAAAATTCATATGGTTAATTGAAAAAATATAATTTGTTTAAGTGATAATTGCAAAAATATTCGATAATAAGTGTAAACACAGCTATTATCGAATAAAAGATTGAAAAAAGATCGGGGATTTATCAAATTTCATTTCATAAAATTTTCACGGTTGATTCCCATTTTTGTCGATTAATTGTAAATACAGCGGGAGTGGAAGCCGCCTTCGTTAGATTCCAGCCAGTCAAGCATTTCGTGTGGGAAGCCATTTGCTCGAATTGCTTCTTCTTCTTCTTCCTTTGATCCATCGGACCATCCTTTCGCATCTGGTTCGCAGATCTCCCTCGAAATTGACCTACACGCCTCACCGCCCGATTTCTAAATTCTTGGAACTCTTGAAAGGTAATGTTTTGCTTCGAGCTTTCGCTTTCAATTTCGTCTACCCCAATTAATTTCCATCCAATTGAATTGATCTGTTTACAATTCTCATTTTTTTGGTATATTTTTTTTTAAATTTTTGGGATATTTTTTTCAACGGTTGCAGGCGTTTCAAGCAATTTCAAATAGAGTGTGAGGGTTTGGGTTTACGAATTCCCCTTCCCTTCCCTCACTTCGATGGAATTCTTCAACCTGTAGCAAGCAAAGCTGTTGCCTTAGAGGGAGAATAGACACTGCTGGTGTTGCTCAGGTTTTGATCATTCGATAGCCCTTTGTTTTTGTCCATTCAATTGAATACACACTGCTGCTGATGCAAAATGTGTATGTTTTGCTAATACTTTTGAGTTTTTATTGCAATTAATGTGCAAAGGGGCTTGATTGGATTACAAGTTTTCGGAATGGCGGAGTCGACCCCAATCTACCTGAGCATTATTGCTTTTTTCTGTACTGTTGGAGCCATGGCTTTGGCCATTATGCACATCTACAGACACCTCATGAATTACACAGAACCGACTTATCAGAGATACATTGTCCGCATCATCTTCATGGTCCCGGTGAGTACTTAATTTGAAGAAAAAACCAACTCTGAAATGCTACGTAAATGCATTGCCACTTGAAGAATTGGGTTTAGTTAGTTGTTTTTACCTTTTAGGATTTGTTCAATGTATTTGAAAAGAAATTATATGAGAATGTACTGAAAATGGTGTACATGCTTTGTATTATCTGGCCATTTGATTTTCCAATCTGATAGTGTGATTGCATGCTTTCTTTCCTGATTAAGCCTGTTCTGGTCGTGCACGCTATAGAATGGACAAAGTAAGGCCAGAAGAACAAAAAGTTTTGAAATTTGAAGATTGTGATAGAATCAGTGGAACTCTTGCATTCTTTGTTACTGTAATCTGTATTGATAGAAATTTCGCTTGTTTGGGTATTGGTTGAACATCAAGATATGCATTTCTTCGCGTTTGTTTTGTACGTAACCAATATGAACTTTGTTTTCCTTTACAGGTATATGCATTGATGTCGTTCTTATCCCTTGTTAATCCTGTGGGTTCAATCTACTTTAATTCCATTAGAGAAGTGTAAGTATGTCTTCATTTATTCAAATGTTTCACTGCACGTATAATTGATAAGAATACTTTGTTTATCTTCTGGCCTTCTTTGCCTTTGTTTCCCATTTTAGATAAGAACATAGAAAGGGATAAAGTAAAGGAGGAAATTGTTTCCACCATTTTCCCCTTAAATTCCAGGTATAAGGGCAAACCTCTTGTCAAGAGAGAATCCTGTGAACCCAAGGGAAAATGTTCCTCCCATTTGTTTCTCTCTCTCTCTTTCTCACCCTCGTACTCGCTCATTCTCATCTGTTTATTACCCTCTAGGGCTCAAGTGTCAGTTTGTCTGATTATTGCAGGCACTATATTGTTTTATTCTCATGCTATTTTTTTCCCATTCTGTTCAGCTATGAAGCTTGGGTCATTTATAATTTTTTATCGCTGTGCTTGGCATGGGTTGGCGGCCCAGGATCTGTTGTTGTAAGTCTAAGTGGTAGGGTTCTAAAGCCTTCCGTGGTTCTGATGACATGTTGCCTCCCTCCCATACCCCTGGATGGGTGAGTACAATCTATGCTTAATTTACCAAGATGTTAACTGCAAGCCAGGAATTTGTGTTGTAAAAAGAATCACAAAATTCTGAATTACACGGGAACATCTTTGTCTATTTCAGTTATCTGGGTACTATTTCAAAATGTTTGTTTGTTTTCATTTAACTTGTGAATACCTTGTTTAAATTTACATGCATAAAATCAGCTTCTCTACATAATAGGAAGATTCCGTGCATGACTAAGGAGATTTCTGGACAATAATGAGATTTTGTTATATAACAATATGTCATCGTATTATACGTATGAGATGATTGTTTGATAAACTCACATATATGAAACTGTTAATGCAGGCGCTTTATACGTAGGTGCAAACAAGGATGTTTGCAGTTTGTGATCCTGAAGCCTGTATTAGCTGTTGTTACACTCATACTTTATGCAAAGGGGAAATATGCAGATGGAAATTTCAGTCCAACACAGTCATACCTGTATCTCACTATTATCTACACTATCTCATACACAACAGCTCTCTATGCTCTGGCATTGTTTTACTTTGCTTGCAGAGATCTACTCCAGCCTTTCAATCCAGTTCCAAAGTTTATTATAATCAAATCTGTGGTTTTCCTCACTTATTGGCAGGTAAACGTTTTTCTCACTGTAATAGTCACAGTAATCTACTTATTGTTCAGTGTCTTGTGTATTAGCAATTTGCACTTGGTTGTTGATCACATTCTTATGCATGAAGAGCAGAAGATGATTTCTTCTAAAAGCAGTTTTTGAGTATGGATGGCATCTATTGCCACATTAATTTAAACAAACTATTTGGGGCCAAACTTCCTTTAGGCTCACCAAATGCTGCTTGAAAATGTGGAACTGTGAAATAGGTGCACATTAGTAGCAGAATGTGGATAAAAGTTGGTGCATATAACGTTGGATTATTCATATGATACTAACTTGTAATTGTGTATAAACATGTACCAAAGAAATAACTTTGTCGTTTATTCCTATTATTTCATAGAACAGAGCTATAATTTGATTTGCAGTATTGTATTTTACGTTCTTTGTCTGTTTCCCTTTCTTTTTTTTTCTTTTTTTTTGTTGATAGTAAAGTTTAAGTTTTTAACTTATTCAATGTTTCTGATTCTTATTGTCTGCCATTTAGGGTGTGTTGGTCTTCCTTGCTGCGAAATCTGGGTTAATAAAGAATGCAGAGAATGCTGCTCGGTACCAAGATTTCATAATATGTGTTGAGATGCTTATTGCTGCTATTGGTCATTTATATGCATTCCCTTACAAGGAGTATGCTGGTGCAAATATTGGCGGGCCTCGAGGACTGACTGGAAGCCTCTCACATGCCGTAAAGTTGAATGACTTTTACCATGATACAGTCCACCAGGTGAGCGTTTCAAATTATTTTTTCCTGATATCCCCTTGCATAAGAGTTCTCTTTTAGCTTTGCTCAACCTTTCTGATGAGAATATTGAACTGTGTGCAGTTTGCCCCTACTTACCATGATTATGTACTCTACAACCCTAGTGAGGGTGACGAGGGAAAGAGGAAGTACCGGTCACGCACCTTTGTGCCAACCGGCCCAGAGATGGATACTGTCAGAAGAAACAAGAACATGTTTGGGAACAAGATAGATGACATACAGCTTTCAAGTCTTTCATCTTCTAGCTCAAGCACTCCGGATAGTTCTGGTCCAGTACCCGAGTCTGCAAGTTCAGATGCAATGAAGTCTTCCCTTCTTGTTGATACCTCAAATTCTGCATCAGTGCCGTATGACATGTCACTCATCGACTTAGACTTGAACAGTTACCCCGCGAAGGTTCCCTCAGCAAATGAAGGTGGCACTAGGTGACAACGATAGTCTGTGGTAGACACGTATGAAGAATATTCTTACAAGGAAAACAGTTTTGAAATGGAAAGCTTCATTTGCTTAATAGTGTGGTGAAATTGGTGCTGGGTATACTCCCTTTTTCTCTCTCTGGTTTGAAGCACTTTCGTCACTAATATCTTGCTTCCCCACTGAGATTGTTTTCAATGTCTTGTTTTGTAGATATGGAAAATCTAATTGTCATACTTGCTAGGTCACAATAGGAAAATCGATTTGGTTTTTTCGCATTTTTCGTTGCACAATGAAAGAGTTCTGTTGTCTGTTGGGGATGTCTTGGACTTGACATTGAAATATTATTCTGAACTGTAACATGGTACATGGTTCATGTTTATTCATTTTTTACCTTCTTTCCGAGCAAATCCAACTTTATATTCCACCTCTCTTGATGTCTTAGAAGAAGAGTATTTCTGTTGGACGAAAGGTTTGAAAAATCTGTTGGGGGTAAATTGTAGCTATGGTCTCTTAACTTTAACTCAATTGGAGTAATAGTCCTTTAACTAAAAATCCATTACTATTGGTTCCTCAACTTATCAAAACGTGCAGCTATGATCCTTCAATTAAAAATTCATTACCATTGATCCCTCAACTTTAATTCAACTGGAGAAAAAGTTCCTTAATTTTAACCCAATTGTAGCAATGGTCCTTCCAACATAACTCGTTTTTTGACAAAAATTTTGACGTAGTTGACGAAAATGACCATAATTACACACTTTGATGAGTTGAGGGATCGTAATTATATAAATAGTTATTCCAACATAACTTATTTTAACAAATTTTTTACAAAGTTGATGAAAATGACTATAACTACACATTTTGAAAGTTGAGGGACCATTGGTAATGAATTTTTAGTTGAGGGACCATTGCTCAAATTTCATTAAAGTTGAGAAACCATTGCTACAATTTACTCAAATTTGTTCGATGCAGACCCATATAAACGCTTGTGCATTGAAAGATTGATTGAGATGCTTATTCATGTACTTTGATGTGCATTGAAAGATTGATTGAGGTGCTTATTCAAGCACTTTGATGAGACAATGATGATGTTAGACTAATGTTAGTCTGGCAACAACTCCATGACTATCGGGTTTCTTTCGCTGCGAACGAAAGCGACGTGCTTCTGGATATATACTTTATAGATGGCTCTTGATTTTGGTTTTTTGCTGGATTGGTTTTGAATTTTGTTTAAGTTTGCTGAGGTGGAACAGAAATTGTTTTTGATGACTTGTACAAGTAAAGTCCTCCCAATGACTCTTGGTGCATCTGATTTGAACTTTGAGGTGGTGTGATTGACAAGGGAGTTGCAAAAGAGACAGTCTAACTCGCATGATCTACTTGTAAGTGCTGAACTTGTCAAGGTAGATAATGCAAAATGTATTGAGTTTGTTGAGACTAAAATGCTTAATCTCTCTTCGCTAATGGTATTTGGGCAGTTAATCTATGTTCTAGAATCTAATTGGTATTTGGGCAGTTTTCTTATCTTAAGCAAGTTACCTGAGCACCTGGCTTATTCGTAATACCACTCTGTTGTTGTTGCTTTAAGTCAAAACAACTTGAGGATTTCCAAAATACTTAAACAAACAATAGAATCTAATTGGAGTCTAATTAATGACTCGACTGGAACATTTTTTTAATTGGTAAAATCGAACATGAGACCTCAGGTGTAGATACTAATGTCTTTAATTACTTGAACTACAAGCATATTGTGATGTGCGGTCAGTGTGGGGTTTTGTTGATGGCCGTTCGTTTTTCATTTTTCATGCCGTAAGAGTATTTTGTATGGTTTTGATCAATTAAACTAACTCATAGGGCAGTGATTTACTTAGACACAATGAATTATACCTAAGTAGAATCCCATCAAACATAAGCTACAATTCTAGGATTGATCCTAGACTAACCTAAGAAGTTAAAAAGGATGTTCATGTAGGGTAAAAACATAAAATAAAAGTGGAAGAAACAAAGTCCAAGAAGAAAAGGCAAGGGGAAAAGCAAGACAAAAGGCATGTGACCGTCCATCTAAAATGACCACTATCCACGTGTTAAAGCAAAATTACTATATAACACATGAGAGAGAGAGGAGGGGACTATAATTTTAGATAGAGAAGAAGAAGCAATGAGACTCAGTACTTCCGTTGTAGTTGTAGATAAGTTTCTCTCCTAGCTTCTGCAAGCGCTCATGTGGCGGCGCAGTCATCGCTTGCCTATTGCCTTCCTAAGCAAATGGCAAACCCAACTTATCACTTAACCCACCCAACGTTCGTCGAATTTATACAATCTCAAGAGTCTCCCACAAACCTTTATATTTCTCTTTAAACCGCACCATTACTCTTCATCTTCAACCTCCAGATTTCATACCCCCAAAGGAAAAGACAACAAAGCCCTCTCCTCTCTCTCTCTCTCTCTCTCTCTCTCTCTCTCTCTCTCTCTCTCTCTGCGTCTCTGTTGTTTCTCTCCGGCTGAGTTCTCCTCCATGGCCCGCCTGTGGGGACAGAGCTATCACCACGTGGGAACCGACCCGTCAATCAGCAGAAGCACCTCAGTGGCTAGGAGTACTAGCAGTGGGTCCTTCTACAACAGCTACATGGAGCAGGGAAGCAGCAACTACACGTTGATGGAGAAGAGGCAGCTTTTTCTCAGAAGCTACCAGTTCAGCAGGAAGAAGAGCCTGACGGAGAAGATAAAAGGGTCTTTTTGCAAAGTCAAGAGGGCGATATGCCTGCGGCTGAGGTCGGCGAGGAAGCTCCGGAAACTGGTTTCTTTCAAGCTCAGGTATGGCGTTTCTTTCCGGAGAAGAAGACTCTGCCGTCTGCTGAATAATTACCGTCGTACCCGCAAATGCGATAAGTCCTATTGCTTCTGGTAGGGAGTACTCGAAACTCGTGTCAATGTCTAATTCTTCTCTCTCCCTCTGTTTTCGGGTTTCTTGTACTCATTTTTTATCCATCTGCACTCGTTCTGCACCGACTGGGTCGGAATGAGCGCATGAGGCTAAAAGAGGAGTGCTAAAATTACTTATGTCTTACAATTTCTTTTGTTTGTATGTAATTTCAAAGAAAAAAAGTGGTGCTTGAACTTGAAAAGCATTAGAATTTGTGGTATTAGATTCGCACCCCACAATTGATCTTGCTTCCAAGAGTCTGAAAAAAAAAAAAGAGTTATATACATGATGAATTCCTGTTCGATTTATTTTGTGATACTAGTTGTTAATTTTAGTTAGGGTTTTTGCTCTCTACTCTAAGAGTTTTTTTTTGGGGGGGGGGGAGAGATTTAGGAAAATGGTGTGTTTTAGTATTTTTAGGTGATTTATATTTGTCTTAAAACTTGTCCATAGTGTGGTTAAACTGTATTTTTTATGTCGTTGAAATTGTTGATATTAGAGTTGTGATATATCACCATCACTATAAAAATAAAAATAAAAAATAAAAAATAAACTGTGTTTCTAATTGTTATGAGAATCCCGAAATAATAATTTGCATGATGAGATTGAGAATCTCAAAGTATAATGTAATGGAGGCCACGATCCGGCTTAGGGTTTGGTTTCTAGGTTACGCAGAGTTTGAGGTCGATATTTGGAAGAGGTAAATGGAAACCGATGTGGAAATCTATCAAGTTCAAAGTTTGAGTACTTTGAGTCTCAAGGGAGCTGCAAACCCAAAGAAAAGTCAAGCAGTTCAAAGATCCAAGTTTGAATGTAAGAGATGAAGCAAAAAGTCAGTATTGTGGAACTGTGACTTTTGCACTTTGCATGCTGTTATAGTTGAACTTGATCACACAACTATATTGCTGTTACTTCTCTTCCTTTTTCTCTCTCTCTTAGTGGTTCGCTTTGCTGGCAGGATTTTCTCTAGTGCGGGATAAATCTTGCACTACAATTACGGGTTGTGAGTAGCTGGTCGATCTTCCGCTCATATCTCGCGTTGGAGAACTTGTGTTAAGTAGCACTACAGGTCTACAATACAGTTTTGATTCATGGGGCATTGGTATTTCCGTCCGTCACCAAAAGTTGTAGGTAGGATAATGAGACCAAATAAAAGAGTCAATAAAAACTACATGCCACTGAATTAAGTGTTCTATAAGTTAGACTGGCCGTCTTATTAAATTTCACCTCATCTGATTTAACTCTTTTTTACTACTACACATATGTGGGTTAGGGTACTGCGTCTCTCCCTTGCACCATCGTTTAAGTCTTGTTTTATAAATCAGAGTAGTTTAGAACAGAATAATGTTAGAGAGATCATATTCTGTAGACCGCATGATATAATGATTGATGGTTGAATTTATTTTTAAATCAGTAAAAATAAAATCTAACCATCATCCATGTAGTTTACAAAATATGTTCTAAACCCGTTTACTTTAAATATAATATTTTACTCCATTATAAATTACTACCAAAATAAAGTGGCATGGTGGAGCAAGCAGAAGGCTCTCGTCATTTATATAAATATAATCACATGCCTAATGGCTTCATATGGAATCAACGTCAAGGGATTGGTGGAAATCTATGAATATAAAAATGAAGGGGCAAGATTAATCAATATTTAGTTACATTCTGCAGTATCGGGACAGATGTATAAAAGGGTTTTTCTTTACTAAAGTGCTCATCTTTAATTCAACTTTTTAATGGAATGGCTGGGAAGGAGGAAGAAGAATCTTTCATTTCATGTGCTGACAGAGACAGATCCAATTACTTGGGATGAAAATTTAAGAGCGAGAGAAGAGAAACTTGGATAAAATAGTTTTCACATACGATGAGGATTTTCTTAAATCGAGTGTTAAAATTGGGTGCGACCAAAATACAGAATAACATAATATGACAGTATAACCAGATCAATCACGTATCCAAATTGCCTTACTTAAGTTTTCACGAACAACTCGTCATCAAGATGTATGTAGTCAGTTGACATTTCACAAAAATTAGGCAAGAAAAGGATACGTGGTTGTACAGATACAGCATTAGAGATGTTTAATCTAGTGTAAATTAATAGTATTTGATTAATTATTTCATACATTTGTCTAAAATTTACGGGAAAAAGGGTGAATAACGTTTTGTTGCATGTGTTTGCTGATCAAGAAAAAATGGTTCCTTGAGAAATGTTGGATGAAATGGCAATCGCTGGATAAGAAACATGTACGATATATATTATACTAATGTTAAAGTCAACCAGATTTAAAGAACTGACTGCATGGCAACGCTGACACAGAACTTTTTGGGTACTTTGAAGTATTGGATATTCAAGTATTTTAATTGTTAAACTTTTATTTTAAAATATAAAAATTAAATTTAACAGTTAAAACATCTTACTTTGGAGCACCTAAATTTTTTTTACGCATATACTTGCTAATAAAATTAAAAA